ATAACCAACCAGTGCTGCTTGGCCAGGGCTAACCAACCACTACCATAATAACCAACTGTGACTACAGTAATCACTGAGTGCCACTATAACCACCAAGGTTTCTATAACAGACCAAGTTTTCTATATCTGGCCAAGGTTTCTATAACGGACCAGGGTTGCTATCACTGACCAGGGCTACATTAACCACACCGGGCCCTGCCACCTTCCCCCCGGGCTGGCAGTGGCTCCTTGTGCACGGCAAAGGCCACTAGAGGACCCCCAACACCCACGTGGAACCTGAGGGCTCCTAAGCATGAAGCTGACCCTCCAGCTCTGAGAGACAGGGGGTCAAAGAGGGGAAACGGGCACTTGGGGAATCCTGAGCTCTGTGGTGATTTAAGCCCAACCCATCTGGTGTACACACAAATGCCCTTTGATCTGTGTGGCTTCATTAACAGAGGAACAGGAGCTTTAGTTGTGAAAGACAAACCGGGCGCAGCCCCTGGCCAGATGTGCGGCCCCCTCCTGGCGACGTTCCAGGCAGCTGAGTCTTGGTAAAGTGGCTCCCAGGCACACACGAGGTCACCGGAGCAGGGCGCTCCGCAGCCACCTCTCCCGGGTGCCCAACCTCAAGACTCCCATGCGCTCCTTCCCTACTCAGCCCCAGCCAGGACAGACTCCACTCAGCCTAGCTGCCCTGGATGAGCTCACCATCAGCTGTGTCTGGCTGCCCGGGGAGGCTGGGCCTGGCTTTCTGCAGGCCTCTCGGCACCTGTGCCCTCCTCCTTTTCCCTACCTGTCCTCTTCATCTGCAAGGGAATCAGGGACCACCTCTGTTCACAGGCAGCTGCCCCTGGGGCCACTGTCCACAACTCTTCCCGACTCCAAGGACGGCTGCTCCTGTGACTGCAAGGGCAGCCCAGGCCACGGCCCGAGAGACACTTCCCACATCTGCCCCTGGGTGGCAGCGTCGGGGGTGGGGGTTTCCTGTGGCGTCTCGGCCCCTGCTTCCCGCACAGGACCTGCGGCCAGGGGCTACCCCCCCAGCCCCCCAGTCCCCGGCCTGCAGGGGCTCAAAGATGGCCCTGCTTTTGCTGTGCACTGCCCTCAGAGTGTCCTCAGGCTCAGTGAGGTGGGGGAGGCACCTCCAGCTGTGCCTCGGGGGGCCAGGCCAGGGGCATGCTCAGTTCCTGCCCCGGCGTGCACGAGAAGCGGCAGACATATAAATGGCATGCACGGGGAGAGGACCAGCTGGCCCTGAAAGTCAGGCTCCTCTAAGGCTGCTCAAGGGTACTACGCACCCAGATCCCCTCTTCTGGAAAGAAAGCAAGACGCAGAGACAGCCACTGTGCTCAGCACCCACCCTGGAGGACCGGGCTCCTGCGTGCCAAGTGGCATGTGATGTGGTCCCTCGGGGCCAGCGGCCATGGAGCCTAGCGCTGCAGGGGCCTCCTCCTCATCAGAGCACGGAGGGCACTTGGGCGCCTTTGCTAGAAGGGGACAGTATTCGCCCCTAGCTGGAGAGCGCTTGGCGAACGCTGATTGTCCAGAGAATGTGTACCTCGTCCACGATGCCAGACCACCTGCGTCCCCATGAAAGGGCCCCAGGACATGTTCCTGTGATCAGGACCCAGGCTCAGCCAGGGCAAGTGGGCCAGGGCACAGAGGACCACTCGGGACACCCAATCCCTGCACCACCCGGCCAGGCCTGCTTCTCTAGGGAAAGGCCCAGCCCACGATCCAGAAGCAATGGCCTGCTGACCACAAGGTCAGGCCGCATGGCCCCAGAGGGTCTGGGCAAACTCCTGCATCTCCCCCAATGTCAGGAGGGGGGACAGGAAGAGGGGCTTCTGTGGACAAAGTCCCGAGGGCTGGACACAGAGAGACAGAGGCAGATGCAGAGACGGATGTCAGCGGCAGGGAGGAGAGACGAGGAGGCAAGGGCAGGGTCGCTGGGGGTGGGCGTGGGCGGGTCCAGGGCAGAGGCATGGGTGGCGATGTCCAGAGCTAAGTTTCTGCAGAGCAGTGGGTCTGGTGCCGGGCCCCCCATGGCCCCGAGCAGGCACAGCTGGCCAGGCAGGGCCCCCCTTGCTGTCCAGCTCAGGACAGGCACGAACATCACCTCCAGGCCTCAACACCCTGCCCCAGCTGCACTGCCCCAGCAGCTACAAACTCTCCAAAAGCAACAGGTAGCCGTGTCAGGGGTCAGCAGGATTCTCTGACCCTGGCAGACAGCTCAGCTGGGGTCAGTCCTGCCACCTCTGGGCCTGGGGGCTTAGAGCGACCCAGCTGGTGGGCCGGGCAATCCCGGGCCAGCGAGAGGACCACCCAGGCCTGAGGGGTCACAGAGGCCAGGGCAGGATGGGGTCTGGCGGGGCCTGAGGGTGGACAGGTTCTGGGTGGGGCTGAGGGGTGCAGCCCAGCACCCTTCACCACGTTCTGCCAGCAGAGTTCTGCCAGCACAGTCTAGGAGGAGCCAGAGCCCAGTGGGGTCCAGGATGAGGCCACACAGGCCAAAATGACCCTGCTCACCCAAGGGGCCCGGGGGGCCTGGCTCCTGCCTGGGGGCCACCAGGGTCCTGCACATGGATTTTGTGGGTGTCCCTCAGGCAGACTGGGGACATCTGATGTGGCTGAGCCCCTGGGAAAAGCAGAGGCCACTGCAGGGTTCTGAGGAGCCCAAAGGGCTGGGGTGCTGGGGTTGTCACTAGGGAGGGGTCCAGGGTGAGGCCAGTGAGGCTCGGGGTACAGAGGGGCTGCAGAGGGGACCAGAGGCCCCATCTGCTGCATTCGGACTCTGGCAGATCTGGGTGTTACAGGTTCAGGGAGGCGGCGAGGCCCTGGGGAAGGCGTTGGAGGGAGGACAGCAGGCAGTAAGCGGTCGGCGGGGCCTGGTGACCAGCACCATCCAAGTTAACCGAGGCAAGTGGGCGGACTGACCCGCAGGCATGGGGGGCTCTGCGTCCCTCGCAGGTGTCCGCCCTCAGCCAGGGGTAGCAGGTGGGCAGAGATGTCACTGGGGAGTTGTCGGCACACACACTGACTCCATGTGCACAGCCTCACACACGTGTGTCTGCACATGCTGGACACACACCACGGGTGGTTCACATGCACAAACACGCACAGCTCTGGCCAGAGGACTGAGTGACTGTGAGCCGTGTGGAACACGTCCCCAGTTCCAGTCCGAGTCCTGAAGCATAGTTTTACACTGCGTTCGGCAACCACCCTGCAACGGGTCTTCTCCCACCCCAGGATTTCTCAGGAACAGGAGACGGGGTGAGCGGCCTCCTACTCTGTGGTGCTCTCTGAGCCCCAGCCAAGAAGGCTGCAGAATGACAAGCAAAAACCAGAGGAGGCCCCCAGATTCTGGAACCTTTGCCCGCAGTGCCCCAAATCCCACGGGCCTCAAATGCAGACCAGGTTCAGGCCCTGGACTGCACTCTGCTCCAGGAGAGCTGCCCGGCATCTTTGTTTGCTTTTGTTCCTACGAATGCCTTACGTTTCCTATTTCAAAGCAAGATGACTTCCAAAGCTGGAAATGAGCTCAACTGAGCTCGCAGTACTTTTTCCCTTTAATTGAGCAGGCACCGTATGTTCGCGCACAATGCCAATGTACTTGGCAAAAAGGAGACTGGGAAAGCGAGGGGCTTGTGTTTGATTATAGCCAGGGGCCCTGGGGACCGAGCGACTCAGAAAAAGCAATAAATGTTTTTTCTCGTTTTGTAAACACCCTCTATGGTGCTGTGTGGAAATGTTCCCCGCACACTGCAATGATCACCACTCCGCTGGGCCGTGTTGTCGCTGGCCCAGGGCTGCAGAGGTCAAAGAGAGGCCACATGGGCTCCAGGTCTGGCAGAGGGGCCTTAAGGGAGCGGGGACCAGGCCAGGCCTCCTCCAGGTAGTCGCCAGGCCCCGTGGGAAGGGCAGAGTGTCCGGAGGAGACGCACATGCCCGCGGTCCCGTTAAGTAACAGAAGACGGCGCCAGCCCTCACAGCCCACCCAGGGAGCTGCAGGGTGGACCTGGAGCACGGGAGGCCGGGCTGCACCCCTAGGCTTGGCCCAACTGCAGCGGCAAAGACGGCAGTGTGCGGTTGCCAGGACGGGACCAGTGACAGACACGAGGCTGAGCACCTGCCGTGCCAGGAACCCGGGCTGGGGTAGTTGGAGGAGTGGGGTGCACCGGCCTGGTCTCGGCCCTCTGGCCCAGGGCTTGCCCGCCAGGGCCCTGAGCCCATGGGCAGCACGGTGACAGCACATGGGCAGCACAGTGCCCACTGTGCCCACCCACCCACAGCTCCCCCAGAGCAGGTGGGCGCAGCCTCTGGTGCTCCACCCCCAGGTGGCTTCTCATTCCCGAAGCCAGGAGGCCACCTGCTCTGGCGAGGCACAGCCCTGCGTGCAGGGCCAGTGCAGACTCCGACCACAGCAGTGACAGAGGACCCTTCTGCCCATGCAGAAACATGGCCTCCTGCAAGCCCCACTCGGACCGGCCTGACACTGTCACCTGAAGACTCCTGCCAAGCACACCTGGGCACTGCCACATGATTGGTGTCACCAGTGGAGTGCAGCTCAGCCTTGGAGACGGCTCACAGTGCAGGCCCTGGGCCCAGCCCGTGGTCGGCACAGCCGCAGGGAGGACCATGGGGCATTCATGGTTCCCCCCCTCGCTCCTCATCTTGCCACAGTGCTCTGCCCACGCCGCCCACCTCAGCTTCCGCACTGCCTGCCCTGCGCTGTCACAGGGCCTCAGTACTGGCCGGCCCCGCGGGCCATCTGGACGGCAGCCCTCTGGCCACATCCCCGACTATGCAACACGCAGGTCAGGTGCAGCAGCCGCGCTGTCCTCTCCCGAGGACCCAGCACGGGGCTCCCCCTTTCCGAGACACCTTGACGGTGGCCTGCTGCTGGGGCCCTGTGAGGATCCATCGGGGCTCTCCTGCACGAGACCTGAGGACACAAGGCACCGCACAGCTGCGGGGCCTCCCTGCCACCCCAGGGCATGGCCAGCTGCGGGGATAAACAGAAGGCAGGGGCTGCTCGGCCCAGACCGATGTCGGGGTGAGGATCGGCCATGGGAGGAGCAGGTGGCACCACAGGGCAGGGGCAGAGCCCACCCAACTGCCCCTGGCCCCGAGGGAGGGAGGGGCGGAGGTGCCCACACCAGACAGGCTGCTTCCGCAGCTTCCTTCGGGCAGGCTCTCCCTCTAGTGAGGGTGAGGCAGACTTTCATTTCAAGATGAAAAGATCTAGGGTGGGTCTCATGTCCCCCGCTGCTGGGACCAGGGCTGGTCCTGGCTGGACGTAGGCCACGGCACAAGTTGCCCTCCCGGCCATGCTTTACAGCCAGATCTGCTGGGACACAGATGGTCACGTTCAAATAACCTCCACTGGAATTTCTGCATGACAAGATGGCAAGCCTTTCAGCTTCTCTGACTTCGAAGCTCAAAACTAGTTACCATTTCCTCAGAAGATTCTGCAGAACAAAAGCAAGATAAATCCTGCCCAGCCCTGCCCAGCAAAGGGGACGGAACAGACCCCTTCTGTGCAGGGTTAGCAGGAAACGTGTGGGAGCCTGCCATCGACCTGCAAGCAGACGCGGGGACCCCAGCTGGTCTGGTCTCCAGGGGGCGTGGGGTGTGGCCAGCAGTGCTGGCCATGTGGAGGGCCGCTCTGTGGACAGTGTCGCCTCAGCCTACCTCGCCCCTGGGCGCACCCATCAGGGACGCTCTGGAGCTGGCTTCCCAAGAGTGGCTCGGTCCCTGCGCCCCTCAGCAGACACCACCAGCTGTGCATAAACTGCGTGGCTGCTCTGCCAGCCGGGCAGGAGCCTCCCTCCAGGCCTCCCCGGGACTTCCCGGGTGACACAGGCCTGTCCTTGCCAACCCGGGGCTTCTGACACTGGCATCCATCTGGAAGCAGGAAGGACAGGGAAGGGCCTGCCAGGCTCGCTCCAGGCTGTTGGAGGGCTGCAGGTTCTGGGGGCAAATCACGCCTGCCAACTGGACCTGCTGCCTCTGCCCGCGGTGACAGCAGCCAGCTGGGCTCCTTCTGCAGGGAGGGGCAGGGAGGAGCTGTGGCTGGGCTGTGACCCTGGCTTCTGGTGGGTCTGGCCTCCCAGCGCAGCGATGCAGGGTCACAGGCTGACGGCACCCAGCTCAGCCTTTCATGGGGCTCAACCCCACGGGGCCTCAGAGAGGCCCTCCAAGTGCACACGGCCACCTGGGGTGCCCTCCCTGCCTGCTGCTGGCCTTGGACCTGACTCTCCTTCCGAGGCCCAGGCCACTCGGGACTGTTGGGCAGTGGGGATGACCAGGCTGGCTTCCGCCTGCCCGAGGGCTCTGCCACCATCAAAGTTGGGTCCACACCTGGCCAGACAGCTACCAGGCCATCAACTGAAGGTGACCAAGGAGCAAGGCTTTCCAAGGAAAGGAAAGCATGAGCTCTGCAACCAGCAAAGCGAGAACTAAACCCTCAGCATCACCCAGTAAGCCAGCCACAGGAAGTGAAGGAAAGGTGTGTGCTTCAGGGGGAGGCACCTGGCTTCCTTGGTGGCCCAGGACAGGCAGAGCCACCTCTCTTCTTTCACTGCCAGGAGCTGAAATACCAGCTCAAGCCAGAGCAAAGCAGGCGGCGGGGGCTGGAGGGAGCTGGCATAGGCACCCAGTGGCCCTGCTCTGTCCTAGGCAGCCCAGCTCCAGAGTGGTGTGGTCTCTGTGTTTCCAGTCTCCGTGTTGGCGAGGCCAGACCCTCAATGCATGCTCTACAGATGAGGGTGGACGTCACGTGCGCTCTGCAAGCCCTGTCCCAGGCCCCAGCAGCTGCGGGGCCTCCCTGGGGACTGGCACCCTGGCCCCAGAGCGGCCTCCTCTGCTCATTAGAGCGGGCCCACTCTGGACATCACCATCTGCTCTCTCCCATGGCCAGGTCCATAGCCCAGAGCCCCGACGTGGTGGCCCCAGGGTCCGAAGGCACCCGGCAGGGCAGGTGCTCCATGCTCAACCCTAGGCATCACAGATGCCATTGGCCTCGACTTGGGGGCCAGGCCTTGGGGACCACTCCACCCACCACAGGCCAAGCAGGTCCCCCAGGGGATCTGTGGGCGAGTGAGGATGACGACACCCGACCTTGGGGACCCCAGGACCTAGCCTGGTGTTTGTGTGCTGGGTCCCAGGCACCTTCATGACGGCCCTGAAAGGCCAGCACACGTCCCCAAGGCCAGGCCCAGAGGGCACGGAGAGGAAGGGGGAGCGGGACTGTGCCTCCTGAGGCCACTGTCCACCTGGATGCTGGGTGGAGGGTCCCCAGGCAGTGCAGCCCCCTCTGGGCCCTGAGGCCTGGCAGCCCAGGAGCAGCTGCGGTGTCCCCACCTCCTGCCCGCACACACAGCCCACGAGGCCGTCCACCCACACCTCTGTGCTGGCTGTGATGGGCAGAAGCCACGGGGTCCCCAGCCCTCCACGAGGCCAGGCAGCTGCAGGGGAGGGCCTGCCACACAGGGCCAGGCCACATGCTGCAGGGACGGAGCCCCAGGCCCCAGAAGCCAGGCAGAGGGGACAGTGAGTCCCCACCTGGCCCACAGCCCAGCCTTGAAGGCTCCCGCAGGTCACCTGCCTCCTGCTCCACGGCACCGCATGTGGACACGGTGGACCGGGCCAGCTCTGCACTGTGGCTGGCCCAGGACAGGCCAACCAGAGGACCCTAGGGGCCGTGTCACCACGTCCTCCCCTCCCACAGATGTGGCAGCCCCACGACCTATCACGGCCAGTCCTCAGAGCCCTGGCTGCGATGCCACCTCTGGAGTAGGCGGGACGCTGCCCTCCCAGGCTCACATCAAATCCTGCTGGTGACCTTGACGGTGCTCTGAACTGTCTCCTGCCAGCCTCGGGGGCACTGAGGAGACCACAGACGGCCCAGGGACGTGAGCTGCACTTCGAGGACCATCGTGCACGGAGCCTGTTGGGGCCACTGCTTCCCTCCACGGCCTGCCCGTACTTAGAAAGGCCATCTCCCAGCACCCCTGGAGCCGCTGCTGGTGACCTCAGCTGCCTCTGATGCCACCGGTCCCTCTTGTTCCCCTTGCAGCCATCACTGATGAATCCACAGCCTGGGCCTCGAGGCCCTGAGGGAGGCCACCACATGGCTACCCCAGGAGCATCGGCGGGCGAGGAGGAGGACCCGCCCAGGAGGCTGCCGCTCAAGGGACTCAGACCCCCACGGACACATGCAGTCAGTTCTAGGGTGCAGGATGGGCAGGTGAGTCAGGCGTGGACGTGCCCTGGCCATGCACGAAGTTACTGCCACCCACGGTCACTCTCCATGGGTGACTTCAGAGGACAGCATCCCCACCCTGGCCCCTGGGTGCACTGTGAGGTATGGGACCTTCCCAGGGACCCCACCAGGAGGTCACAGATAACAGCACCCTGGATGCTGTGAGGAGCCAGTGAAGGCAGGAGAAGGAAGGGAAGGCCCAACACCTGCTGTCCCCCGCTGGGCATCCACTGGACCTGAGGCAAGAGCTGCCAGCGAGTGGGCAGTGAGGACACAGCCAGGAGACGATTGTACTCACTAGGGTCTCAGGGTGGGGGGGGCCTGGCTGGGCCTCCCAGACTGTGGCCGAGGGAGCCGGCTTGGGCCAGCAGTGCAATCACCTGGCAGCTGAGCTGATTCACGGATGCCTCATGTTTACTTCTGAGCATGGTTCTTCCCACCTGGGACAGGACCTTAGCTTCCTGGGACTGAAGGTGGGAATGCAAGCCGGACCCTAGCACTCTTTCAGAAACGTCCCCAGCCAGGGAGCCTGCGGTCCTAAAGGCTATCCCGGCCCTCACTGCAGATTCCACACCCCCAGGAAGCTCGCCATTCTCCAGACGGGGCGCTCTGTGACCCCATGTCCCACGCCCGAGACGCACTTGGAGTCGCATGGGCTCTGTCACCTGCTCTCGCTCAGG